ATTCCATCACGTGTGGTTCAGACTCTCATCGGGTTGCCATTTGCCCCTGTCTATTCCATCACTCTCATCGGGTTGCCATTTGCTCTCATCAGACTCTCATCGGGTTGCCATTTGCCCCGACCAATGCTCGACTGGATAAACCGCAACCGCCAATCAGCCAGTTGCTCTATCCAATTTACTGTATCTTCCCACAGCGGGCCTCAATCTCAACAGCCATCGGTGTCGAAATGGCCATATCACCATGACCAACATGGACTTCAATCTGCTCCCTACCTGGTGCCTAAAAGATGCAGAATGGTCGAGCAACATTCTTCTACACGTGAGGCTCTTACAGTTGCAGCCTCCCACTACTTTCCTGTTAACCCTGATGAGGGAAAACGTTCCTCTTGCTCAGCATCTCCAGTGTCTATATACTCCATTGCTTTACCAACTCATCAACAACCTCTGTTTCGTCATCTCTGAGACACAGGCTCTGATATCGATGATCCTTGATATCCATCCTGGTTCATGGACACTAGTTCTGTCCCCCTGCCAACGCACCATTTCAGTCGGTCAATAGAACCAAATGATCAGACTCAACATCACTATGACCCCGAGTTCGACACTGACATTCAGCCATATCAGACAATGTCCATGTCGCAAATGTCAGTACTATGACATTCAACCTCTTGACATCGAAGTCAATCGACAATCCGTCAACTCCTGACGCGACCCTGAATATTCCAGTCATGGATCCAGACCTCAAACGCTGTCAGTATTACTTATTTCTCCAGAATCTGATCTTGTCGATGCCGATTCACCATCGCCGGCAGAAGATTTCCAAACTTACGCCCAACTCATTCTCCAGAATCCGATCTTGTCGATGCCGATCCACCATCGCCGACAGAAGATTTCCAAACTTACGCCCAACTCATGATCGATATGGCTAAGTCTCTTGATCTCCAAATCCACCGCCCTTTGACAGAATCGTCCGATCATCTATACCAGTGGTTCTTAACCTTTGTTACTCTGATGCTTTTGAACTGCAACTCCCAGAAACCCCAGCCAGCACAGTTGGTGGTGAAGGCTTCTGGGAGTTGCAGTCCAAAACTCCTGAGTAACCCAAGGTTAAGAACCAGTGATCTATACGATCCAATTTCTAATGATACAACTACTCCGGTACATACCTCAATGCTACCATCTCTACTTAGCACTGCTCAATGATCCTGGACAAAACCAGCCTCTTCCCATACAATGTCAAAACGAATCGATAACCTTTACAGAGTCCATGACCCTGGAGCTTTATTCCTTCAAAAGCAGCCAGCTCCAAACTCTATATTTGTTGAAGCCTCACAATCCAGATTCCGACATCGACAGACTCTCATACCACCAAATAAGGACAGTAGGAGGATCAGTTCAATAGGTAGATGGCTTTATTCATCAGTAGCATTCACCATGCATGTCGCTAACTATCAAGGAGCCATGGGTGCATATCAACATTTCCTCTGGGACAATGTCATCCTCTGTCGAACCTTTACCAGAAGATACGGTACTTGCCCAAACCTTCAAACATGAGGGCCTTTTCATTGCCAAGCAACAGATGCTTTCTGCTAGGCACACGGTAGACACCATAACAAAGTCCATGGCCACTTCAGTAGCCCTGCAACATTTTTCTTGGTTAAGGACAGCTAGTTTGACTGAGGAAGACCTTCCATTTGATGGGGCAGGCCTCTTTAATACTGAAACTGATGATATTTTGGAAAACGTGCAAAAGAAAAGATCAGCAACTAGGCGTTGGGGAGTTTATCCATCTTACCAACAACGCCCCCAACAAAATCAATGGAGAAGACCATACAACTCCTATTAGAAATTCCAACGTTACCCTCCAAGACAAACTTCTTATACACCCTACTTCAAAAATCAAATAAACCCTGACAGCAGTCCATTACTAGGCGAAATGACAACAAACCCAAACATCACGTTTGATGCTCCCATGACCAAGATCTACTCAGCCGCACAAATTCTCAAGCTCACGAGTGGGAGTTGGACCAATCAGTTTTTCTTTGTCTTTGCGAGCAATGGGGCAAACCAACTCCCAATCTCTTTGCCTCCCGTGTGAATCAGAAATGGTACTGCTCCCGAGCTGGCATTGGCAAGTGCTCTCAAGGAGATGCATTCGTCGGCCGATGGCCCAAGACCCTCATTTACTTTTTTCTGCTTTTCCCGCTCCTCCACAAGGTCGTAGTTCGCCTACAAGACAAACCCGATGTTATAGCCCTTTGGTGGCGGAGACAACCCTAGTTCCCAGTCCTTCACAATCTCTCATCAGACACTCGCCACCTCCCTCACCTGCCTCACCTCCTCATGCAGAACAATGCCCAAGTACTTCACCCAGACTTACCTGTTCTGCACCTGGCAGCATGGAGGATTCCGCCTGGCTAATGGGCGTTCTCCTTCAAGCGAAAAAGCCCTCCACTAGGAAGGCTTTCCTGTTTAAATGGAACAAATTCAAATCTTTCACCGAAGCTTTCTCATTGCCTTCTATCAACCCATCACTTGCCATTGTTCTACGTTTTTTGCTTCATCTGAAGTCTACTGGCCTTTCCCTCTCTTCTTTGAGAGTTTACCTCTCTGCCATAGTTTATCAGCCTTCCAACTCTCCAGCAGCTGATTTCTTCAAACATCCAACATTAAAACATTTTCTTAAATGTTTATCTCATATGTACCCAGATACGTGTCCACCTTCCCCATAATGGTTGTTAATGCTGGTACTACAACAACTTACTAAAGCTCCTTTCAAACTTTTAGCTTCAACTGATATAGGACTACTTACCTTTAAAACAGTTTTCCTCATTGCTATCACCTCAGCTCGATGAGCTAGTGACTTAGCAGCCTTACGTTATGACTATCTTTATTCACAATTTTTATCCAGACAAGGTGAAACTATCCATGGATATTTCTGTCCTCCTCAAGAAAGAAATTCCATCTCTCCCAGCCACTTATCCTTCCTTCCTTCTTTCCATCACCGTTGTCAGCTCAAGAAAAGATCCTCCATACTCTGGACATTAGACAAGCCCTTGCCTTTTACATCCAGCACACCCAATCTTTCAGATGCTCACCTCACCTTTTCATAAGTCACCATCCACCTACCAAAACTCGTCAGTGATGTCTCAAACTATATCTAGATGGGTCGCTTCAACCATTCATCTCGCATATCAACTGGCACGGAAACCAGTACCGAAGGTGATTCGCCTTCACTCCACCAGCGTGAATCACCTTCAGCATTCCTACATGGCGTACCTCTTCCAGAGTCTGCGCCTCTGCCACCTGGGCACAGCTGTCCACTTTCATTCGGCAATTATAGACTTGATCTTTCTAGCCTCTACTTTAGTGTGACACTCTGCCTCCGGGTAAGACAGCATTTTAGTCACACAGAGTGTGATTCACAGAGGCCATGAAGAAGAACGACAGGTTACCCACCTGTAATTGTAGTTCTTCGAGTGGACCTCTGTGATTCACACATCCCACCCGTCCTTCCCACTGTCACACGCCATTCTGCTTAATATAGTGGTGGCTGACACAACTGAACTACTTACTTGGTGCCAAGGTACTTATAAGGGGCAGGGGGCTATTCTAATGTGTTTTTTGCTACCGCAGAAGCTCTAGAACTTTCTGATAAGGCTCCATGCAGGTGTGGATCACCCAGAATGTGGATCACAGATGTCCACTCGAAGAACCACAGCAAAAGAGAGAGCTCTCCAAACCACAGGACCTCCGTCTTGTCTGGATTCAGTCTTAGTTTATTATCCCTCATCCAACTCAGCACAACATACAGATAGCATCCACTGCAGAAGAGTGGAAGGACAGATAGAGTTGTGTATCATTTGGATATTGATGACTCGTCACTCCGCATCTCTGGATGGCCTCTCCCAATGGTCTCATGTAGATGTTAAACAGCAGTGGGGAGATGAAGCACTCCACAGTTGATGACCCAAGGGGTGGAAACCATCTCCCCTAATTGCATTCTCTGGGGGCGGTCCCCGAGAAAGTGTCAGAGCCAAAACAAAGCAAGGAGGATACTGTTGTCAGAATGTTGAAAAGGACACCTTGCACCTGTCAGCCTCCCTCAAAAGGTCATCATGCAGGGCGACCAATGATGCCTTGTACTGTGATGTGGCTTAAACTTGGATTGGAATGGGTCAAGGGTATTGGGTTCCTTCAGGAGTGCGATGCCTTGTACTGTGGCTTAAACTTAGATTGGAATGGATCAAGGGTATTGGGTTCCTTCAGGAGTGCTGCATTTTAAGTAATGTTTATCTGTCCAAACCAAAAAACCAAACCAAACCAAAAAAAAAAAAAAAAAGGTTTGTAGAAGCAGGAGCAATCTTTGTGAGGTTGGTAGTATCTTTCATCTGGAACTCCCCACCCCACCCATCATTGACTGTGTACGTCAGTCAGTATGAAAAGCTGGCTCACTTCGAGAGGAAGGGAAATCGATTGAGAGCATCTAGAATCCTACATAAGAACACTCAATTCTGCAGCATTCTACCGCAGGTCACATTTGTATCCATAGAGTTGTACAGAAGTGGATAAAGTTATAGGGATGTGGTGGCGCTGTGGGTTAAACTGCAGAAGTCTCTGTGCTGCAAGGTCGGAAGACCAGCGGTCGTAAGATCGAATCCATTGCTTGTCCCAGCTCCCATTGCTTGTCCCAGCTCCTGCCAACCTAGCAGTTCGAAAGCATGTAAAAATGCGAGTAAATAGGTACCCCACAGTGGAAAGGTAACGGTGTTCCGTGTCTAGTGGCGCTAGCCACATAACCGTGGAAGCTGTCTATGGACAAATTCTAACTCTACGGCTTGGAAACGGGGATGAGCACCACCCCCTAGAGTCAGACACGACTGGACTAAATGTCAAGGGGAACGTTTACCTTTACCTAGATAAAGTTATGTTAAGTTAATGTAGGATAGTTCTAAGAGATGAATGCTACTATAATAGTTTTTTTTGTCTTAATTAATAAGCACCTAGGCAAATTGATGCTTCGGGTCCTGCTCCACCAAGTAAATCATCATCACTGGGCAACTTCTATCACCTCCCTTCATATCTGAAGCTATATGATGTTTTGAAAGCAACTCATGCCAACTATAAGGTATTGCCTTTTCCTCTGCTCAGTTTCAAACGCTCTGAGATTAATAGTTTGTTCATATTGTAGATCATGTTTCTTCGCTTTATATGTTCTACATTGGGATTGAATATCAAATGAAAATGTTATTATGCTTTGTTACTTGAACTCATTTTAAACATTTATGTATTGGATGTGCAAAATGTGTAAATGAAGCATACTAAGTTACTTACAGAGTTTTGCAAGTTTTTGAAATAAAGTTTTTGAAATAAAGGCCAATGGCAGAAGTCTTAATAGTTAGCATAATAAGTGACAACTAGAGTTGAACTATTGAAGCAGTGGGGATTTGGGGTATCATCTTCTCTGTAAGTTCTGTTACTTCCCTGGGCTTACTGTAGTTCAGCCAGTATTCCAAACTTTATTGTAATTGACAAAGAATTTTGTCATTTTGAACCAACTTATAGCAACCCTAATAGGGTTTTCAGGGTAAGTGAGTTATGTAAAGAGTGTTTTTACCATTTCCACACCTCCAGGGAGCTTCCATGGCTGATTGGGGATTCAAATCCAGTCCTCCTGAGTCCTGGTTCCGTCACTCTGTCCTCTACACCAGATCTGCGGCCCGGTGCTGGTCTGTGGCCTGAGCTGGACTGGGCCACCGAGACAGACCTCCCGCCCCACCCCCGCATGCACTCACCCCCACACAGCCCGTTTGCACATGCATTCCAGTGTGCCCGTGCGAGCGCTGCGCCGCCGTTTGTGTATGTGCATGAGCACAAACGCACCCAGACAAGCACTGTGCCACCTTTTGTACAAAAAGGTTGGGGTCTGTTGCACTACACCACTCTAGGTATCCCAGTTAAAGAATTATCTTGCCAAAGACACTAATAGGCAACATAGTATTGATGTAATATGATAGAATTTTGTCTATTCAGTATGCTAGACTGTAGAGGACTCTGTTCATAAGAATATAAGAAGAGCCCTGCTGGATCAGGCCAAGGGCCCATCTAGTCTCGCTTCCTGTATCCCACCAGATGCCTCTGGGAGCACACAAGACAACTAGATACCTTTCTCCTGATACCCCTCCCCTGCATCTGGCATTTTGAGGTACCTTCCTTTTAAGCCTGGAGATTATACATCCCGCTCATGGCTTGTAACCTGCGATGGACTTTTCCTCCAGGAATCTGTCCAACCCCCTTTTAAAGCCATCTAGGCCAGACGATCACCACATCCTGTGTCAAGGAGTTCCACCTCCCCTGCATCTGGCATTTTGAGGTACCTTCCTTTTAAGCCTGGAGATTATACATCCCGCTCATGGCTTGTAACCTGCGATGGACTTTTCCTCCAGGAATCTGTCCAACCCCCTTTTAAAGCCATTTAGGCCAGATGATCACCACATCCTGTGGCAAGGAGTTCCACAGACTAACAACATGCTGAGTTTATGTCCCCTGGTTCTTGTATTGCGTGAGAAGAAAATAAGGGTTTCCCTTTTTTTCCACTTTAACTATCCCGTGCATAAGTTTATATGTCTCAATCATGCCCCCCCCCTTAGGGGCCTTTTCTCTAGACTAAAGAGCCCCAAATGCTGTAGCCTTTCCTCATAAGGGAGGTGCCCCAGTCCAGTCATAATTTTAGTCACTGACTTCTGCATCTTTTAAGTTCAGTTCAGTTTAATGCTGCTACAGAAGTCCTGTGACTGGAAATGCTGAAAAGGCAAGTTGTCATAAGCGGTTTGTAATGGCAAGAAAACATTGGCCTCTTAACATTGCAATGTTGCTGATCTGTATGTATGCTCCAAGTAGGCTCATTTATGTCCTGTCTCTCTGTCCCCAGCTTGAGCCTTACATGCAAGTACACAAATACATGAATAGGTGTGATATGAACTTTCTATCTGATAAATGGGCCCAATGGCTGAAATCCTGTTGGCACAGCTATGTGTACTTTGGTCTGTTGTCATCAACCACAGCCTTTTATCTTTAAAGTCCCTTAATCCCCCTGCTCAAATTCTGAGGCTGCCTAGACTTCCCTTTTGGCTGGAGAAACTTTTGTAGTCCTTGGGATGAGAAGAGTCTTTAATGTTCCAAAATTACCACCAGCAGCCCCACTGTCTGCAGTGAGAACAGCAGCAGTGTTTTTCAGACATTAAAATCTTCCCATCTTGAGCCCTCCAAAGGCTTTACCAGATCAAAAGGGATTAGAAATGGGCATGAACCTTTGTTCAGATGTCCAGCCCAATTTGTTGCCTTACTTGCATAGGAGTTTTGCAGGCATGGTGCCCCTGTACCCATTCCTTGGGTGACATGTGCTTCCATCAACATGGTTCCCTACTCACCTTTTGCAGTGTTTCTTCCTTCTTCTGCCTCCTCCATCAATGACCCACTCAAACAAGAAGCTGGGGCAGGGATTTCTGCAGTGCTACCTTTGTGTGGTTGGCTGATGGAGAAGGTGGAAGAGGGAAGAGACACTGCAAAAGGTGAGTGAGTAGTTGTGATGGGCAGACAGGGAAGGAAGTGTACGTTGCCTAAGGAATGGGCGGGTGTGCAGGGAAGGTGGAAGCATGCCATGCCAGCACAACATCTGTGCAAGGATGATGATGAATTAGACCAAGGTTCATGTCCATCTCTATAAGGGATCCTTAGGGATTCTCAGAACCTGAGGGTGAGGGGGATAGGAAAGTTTTAATTAAAGATAAAATGTCACATCTGTGCACACCGTCAGCTTAACATTCACAAATCTACATCATCTGGATTCTGGCTTTTGTTTCTGATTGTGATTTTTTTTTTGTCATATGCATTGATCATATGCAAGAAATGTATCTTCCGTGAATCCTAGATAAACGCCATGTGTATAATATTGTCATCTTCCAGTGCTTGTAGCAGTATAAAATCAAACCAGACATCTTTTTTACATTTATTATTTTGCATTTAGTAACACTATGAAATGCAAGTCGCAGTGAGCAATATTCTTATCTCTTCCTTTCCCATCTCCTTGATAGGTGCATAGTCTGCAGTTCAAGGGCAGAATTCGGCAGAATAGAAAACAATGTTTCTTCCTTTATTAGTGGAATTTTTGGATGCATCTTTAACTTGGCCACACTTTTAGAAGCTTACATATCTGTGCTATCACAGGAGACCTTTTGCCATAGATAGAGATAATAGGTCTCCTATGAGTTTCATACCTGAGCACCAGCCTAACAGCTACTCAGGCAGCTATCCTAGGTAGTAGGTGTGGTTAGTTCTTCTTCTTCTTCTTCTTCTTTTTTTTACCTCAGCTTCCATGGAGAGAATGCCTTTATATGCATTGTTGGGCAGTGTGAATTTTATTATAGTTTGCAGTGATAGGGAATGCTATTCCTGGTAGATTTTTCCCTTCCAGACGTCTTTTAAAGGTATAGGATTACTTTAAGATATGGAACTTGCAGTCCTTTTACTCTTTAACTTTGACCTGTGGTTCTGCAGCTTTGAATGTGCCCTAAACTAAACTAAAGGGCACCTTTTGATTTTCTTCATTAGCTTTTGTTCCTTTGACAGAAACTAATACAAAGAAATGAAGCAAGTACAGTGGTGCCTCACAAGACGAAAGTAATTCGTTCTGCGAGTAGCGCTGTCTTGTGAAATTTTTGTCTTGCGAAAAGCGGTTTCCTGTAGGAATGCATTGCAATGCATTCCTATGGGAAACCTTGCAAGACAAATGAATTATTTCCAACGTGCGAGGCATCGGTCTTGCGGGGGGGGGGGAATTGTCTTACGAAGCACGAACGTGCGAGGCATTGGTCTTGCGGGGGGGGGGAATTGTCTTACGAAGCACGGCCATAGAAGGAGCTGTCTTGTGAGGCACCACAGCGATCGCAAAACGCTTTCGTCTTGCGAGTTTTTCGTCGGATGAGGCGAGGTACCACTGTAATGCTTGTATTGCTTTTTTCTTGTCACTTGCTGAATTTCTTTGTGGCAGGTTCTTTTCTGATATCATTTTAACAGTACAGCTTTGCATATGCCTACACAGAAGTAGTTAAATAGGCATTATTCCCAAGTAAATCAGTTTAATGTTACAATCTCAGCTAGGTTTGTTAAGCATCCTATAGAGTTGTGCTCTCAATTTGAATATTTATTTTTTGTTGTGGGATGTAAGGTTACACTGGATCTCCAGAACAACAATGAAAAGTTTGGTGGTTTCTTGCGATCTGGTTTGGATGTTCTCTCTCAAATATTAGAGCTTGCAACTCTTCAAGACATTGGAAAAGTAAGTTGACATATCTGAATGCTGTTTCTCAGACTTTTGGCTAAGATTAAATGTAGTTTATGTATCTTTGTGGTGTATCAACTGGAGAAGCAAACAGTAACACCCAGTTTTGCTAATTTTAGATCCTAAGATTCAGAGCTCTCCTGGTTTTGTTGGTATGATGGGAGCATCATTTCCATATGTTGGTTGGTACCAAAAGATAACTTTTCAGGATTTTGATTTCTGTCTTGAGAAACATTTCAGCTCTACATGAGCACCTCCACAATGCAGTTTCTGAAATTTTCTAACACCAGTTTCCTGCATTAGAATCTGACTTATCAAACTGATTAAGCTGTTATAAGAGAAAAATCAATCGAAGTCCCATTGATGCGCGACGTTTGTCATGTAGTCCATTGGGGTACAACCTTGGTCCACAGTGTAGTTTTATATGTGGATTTCAATCAGATTAATGTTGGTGTGACTAAAGGTATGTATAAAATGTGTTGTGATTTGCATGACTGAGGGCTATGTGTTGAAAAAATATATAATTAATATTGGCAGATTATCTCATCCTGCACAAGAGAGGATATCTCACCTTCCAAGAAAAAGAGTGTCCATGAGACAGGCCAAAACACCCTGTTGAAAACAACGTAAACTATTATGAGATTTTTCACTGTTGCAAACAGACCAGCACTTTTTCCCTATCAGCAGTATTAGCAAAAAATTATTTTGTGGAAAACAGCTTGTATTGTGCACAAAATAAATCTTGTAGTTTTCCCACAGAAGTCCCAGTGCAAAAAATATTGTTTTTATCTTGCCTAATGGGAAGGAAGCTTTTGAAATATTTTGTTCTTCTTGGTTTGTGACTTGTACGCATTGGTCTTGTGCTTGCACAAAGCCATTCTTGAAATGTTGGAGAGCAATCTTTTCCAACCAGGGTTGTACAGAATCTTAGGGTTTCAAAGAACATTGTCAAGTTTCATGAGAGTCAGGAGGTTCCACTCTCCCTATCTGGTGTTGCAAAAATGCCATTATGCACATGAAGAAGGGGAGACACTATCGGGGTGCAGGCAGCACAGCATGCTCCCCACTTTATAAGGCAATAGTAAAATCCACTTGTAGGAATTCAGTATGCTAAGTTATGTACTAAATTACTTATTTTGTAAAACCACGGAAGTGAACATTTTCCAAGCCTATGTGTGTTTTTATTGAAAAAATATTGAACAGCATCGGGGCCAGGACTGAACCTTGGGCTACCTCACTTGTTACCTCCTTTCAGTTAGAGAAGGACCCATTAGTCATCACCCTCTGAGTACGATTCTGTAGCCAATTGTGTATCCACCTGACACTTGATTATCCAGCCCAGACCTAGTTAACTTGCTAATCAGGATATCATGGGGCACTTTGCCAAAAGTGTTGCTGAAGTCAAGATATGTGATGTCTCCAACATTCCCTCTGTCTGTCAAAGAGGTTACCTGATCAAAAAAAGAAATCAAATTAGTTTGACATGATTTGTTCTTGACAAATCTGTGTTGGCTTGTAGTTATTACTGCATTGTTTTCTAGGTGTTTGTACAATGACCACTTTATGATCTGTTTCCAAATTTTGCCTGGGATTGTAGCTCTTGGGACATTCACTTCCAGTATACAGTACCACCCTTTTTTTGCTCAGTCGTTTATTGGTATAAACAATTCATTCTTGGAAAAAGTCTTTTTTTTCCCTTCAGTCTCCCATTGTCCTTTAGAATTTTTAGTCATCCATGGTATTGACCTTAGCCATACTGCTCTTTCAGATACTGCTATCATCTGTCACTACGTCTTTGCATTTTCTAGCTCCACCTTTCCAGTGTAGAGGCATGGTTTCTCCAGCCTCAGTGTCCTTTGGCCTGATATTGACCTCAATACCAGCTTCAGGTCTGATTTTGGTTTAGATTGCACTGATGGCACTTACTTAATAGTTACTTTATGGTATGAAATGCTTGCCTTAAGTACCAGTAACTGCAGCTCCTATCAAAGCCACTATTTCTGTAGGTCCAGGTAAGCAACAATGTACAGTGGTGCCCCGTATAGCATAGCGAATCCATTCCAGGATTAACATCGCTATACGGAAGCATCGTAAAGCGAAATAAAAAAGCCCATTGAAACGCATTAAAACCCGGTTAATGCGTTCCAATGGACTAAAAACTGGCAGGGACAGGGTGGGTGGGGGATCCCGAAGGCTTCCAGG